TCATGACCTTGTTGGGTCGTTCACATCCTTCTTGCCTGTCAGTGTCTGATTCTGGGGATGCTGGCTCGGCTCGTCTTTGTCCTAGATGAAGGCCTGAAGGATTCCCTCGCTTCCAGAAAGGTCCACAACTTAGATGTCATCCTAGCTTTAGTTCTGGGGACTTGGGGTTGGGGTGGGAGTGAGGGCCCGTGTAAGGACCTTTAACTCCATTCTTTGTCCTGAAGCCATCCCATGGGGTCTGGTGAGAGGTGGGAGCCAGGCGCTGAGTGCACAAAGTCACTGGCGGGGGTGGGCGGAGAGCTCAGGCTGACCTGGAAGCCTGTCATGGTAACTCGGGCCGTGCCTGTGGGGGCCTTCGGAGAAGACGCCTGGGGGCTGAGCTGGGCGGTACCGAGCGGGCAGTCACCCCTGAGAAAGGGCTGCCCCACAATACGGTGAGCTTCATCTAGGCAGGCCCTCCCTAGGTGTGCACAGCGCCCCCATACCCCCAAGACACAGTGGAGGGGCAAAGAACAAACAGAAACTGCGGCCCTGGCCCTGCCATGCACCACAGTCTAACTGGCAGAGACGTGGACAAAGGTGACGATCAGAGCACTCACTGTCACAGATGAACACCCGGGGTGTAGATGGAGAACCAGGTTTGCCTTGAGGACAGGCAAAGATCAGAAGAGGGGTACGGTGTGTGACCCCTAGAGTTTTGGAGGAGGTGTGCCGTCGTCAGGCCCTTGAAAGCATGAACTCTGACCCAGCAGAGAGGGCCTGAGCAAAGACACAGGGTGGGGAGGAGAGTAAGCCAGCAACCCGAAGTGGGAGCTCGAGGGCCTCCAGGTGTGCGTGAGGGGCAGAAGGGGCTGCTCTACCAGCGGCGGGGGGAGGGGGAGGCCTCTGCCCCTCTGCCCATCTCCCTACTCCTGGGTGAAGGGCAGAAGTCAGTGGTCATGAGTCCGATGGGGTCTTAGGCCAATGGTCCTTGGTTTGTCAACCAGCCATTCCCCTAGAGGACCTGAAGCGAGTGAGTCCCTAAAACAGCTTTACCCCTGCCCCACCCCCCGCCCTGTTCAGCCCCAAATCTGCACCTCTAAGCAAAAGAACCTTTGCCATGGAGAGAGCCCTTCATCACCTCAAGGCTAGGGTGGGACTGGCAATGTAGCCCCCTGTGCCTGACTCCCCAATTCTGCTTCTCCAGTAGGGTCCTTACTGTTCTCCGAGGGGGGGGCCGGGAGAGGAGGAGCCGGCGATGTGCACCAGTCAACAAAAGGTCAGTGACCCACGGTCCCCAGAGAGCCCAGCCCTCAACCCTTGCAGGCTAACCGCACTTCCCTGGGAGAAGCTGAGTCAATAACGGTGTACCCCCTCTGAGGCCCACGGGGACTGGTGGGCCTGCACCCCCAGTATCTGCCCTGGTGTGAAGGGCCACAAACTTTCATCCCTTTCCCAAAGCTCAGTTGTCCTGGTGATCTCTGTCTAGAACACAGATGTCTTTTTGTGGCAGTTCAGATCCATCCCTAGAAAGTTTGTTCCCTTGGTGGAGCGACTAGGCAGATGTGGCATTAATAATACGTATGCATCACAGACATCGCCTGCGTGAACCTTCCTGACTCTTTGGGGAAGGGCTCATTGCCCTGGGTTTACAGAGTAGGAAACTGACACCTACCAAAGCCCCCCGAGGCCAGCACAGGGGCCCTTGAGCCTGTCTCAGGGTGTAGGTTGTAAGCACAGAGGCTGCCTCTCTTAAGAGATTCTCTTTCCTAAGAGGTTTGCCGGGCACTTTCGCAACCGATCCAGGAACGCGGGTGGGTGCCAAGTGCTGGGACGATCGAGTCCTTTAGTACGTGCCGTTCTGTCGGCCTGGATTCCGGCCATCGCCGCCCTCCTCCCCAGCCATTTGTATCTCTTTCAGCTGACTCTTGAAAAAGCAGCCAGGCCATCCACACTGGCCGTCACCCCTCAACTCCCCAGGCAAATCCAGACGCTCCTCGGTGTTCCCCTTGTCCACGCATCCATTATAGGGCTCGTCACACTGCATCAGAACTGTCACTGTACCTGTTTGCCTCCCTCACTAGACCGAGCTCCCTGACAGCACTCGGGGTTTTTCATTTGTGCACCCCCAGCGCTTTCCACAGCTCCCGGGCACGTGAGCGGGCATGTGCTCAGCGAGTTGATTTTAAATGGGTGAGCGGTCTTTGTTTTCAAGGGGCTCATTGACATTCTAACAAACACGTACAATAAAGTGTGGCACATGTGAAGTGTACGAAGAGTGCAGACTTTGTCCGGAGAGGTTAATTTATTCGGCGATCGAGAGGGAGAGGCAGCCGCACACAGAAACTCGCATACCAGTACAAGAAGCGTTTATTTGCGGCATGGTTCACAGTTCAGGCGGTCGGTCCCATCTGTTCTCTTTCTAGATGCCTACAGCAACCTGCGAGGTAGGCCCATGATTAGCTCCTTTGTCCAGAGGAGAAAGCTCGGGCTTAGAGATGTTGCCTCTTGGCCAAGGTCACACAAAGCTGGTGGAAGAGCCAGCGTTAGTGCCCAGGTCCTTCTCACATCACACTTCCTCTCAAGGGAGCAGTACAAGATGTTACTAGGCAGTAAGTGCCAAATGAGCAGAACAGACAGCTGTAGTGCTGGGGAGGAGGGAGGGGGGGAGGGGTGCTGGAGACCTTCCCAGCGGAGGGCTCTGAGCTGGGCCGGGACGGGAGGCAGCTGCTCTGTCCTTCACGGAGCTCAGAAATCCAGGACCACGACCGCCGGTGTCTAGCCACACTCAGCTTGACTGGGGACACTTGTGGGGCTCCGCGCTCCCCGACCTGGGAGATAAACAAGAATCAGCGACTTCGCTCCTTGCTGGGCCAGGGGATCGTTGTTCAGGCGCTGCTGGGAGTTGTAGTTCCAGCATCGTCTGGGTGCGAGGTGGGGGAGAGCGCCCCCTGGCGCTTCAGGCCTTGCTCCGCCTAGATCTGGTTTGCGCTTGGGCAGCCCCGTATCCTTACCCTGAAAGAGTCTCCCCCAGATCCCTTGCGGTCTAGCTGCCCTCCGCCCCACTCGGGGTCTGTGTCTGTCCTTCCCACCATCCTCAGGTTTTCTTGTTCACATTTGCTCATCTCTTTTCTGTGCCTCTCCTCAAATTCTTTCAGGCTCCTTCTGGCTGCTCCAAGCCTCTTTCTGTCCCTGGGCCTTCCAGGGTCTCTGACGGCAGCGGGAATCGGAAATCGTGTAGCCCCAGGGTGGCTGGCTTTGCCTCCTCTCCCAGGAGACCTGAGGCAGCGCCCGGAGGAATCCGGGAATGCCTCGGCTCTCCACTTCGCCTCGGCCCAGCCCTGGGCCCGCCTCTCTCCTTTTTACTGGGCTCTTTTGTTCTATCCCGGTCACTTTTTCACGTGGTCGCCTTATTCTTCCTTTCTTTCTGTTGGACTCTCCCTTTAATGATATTTTCTTTGACTGCAGCGAAGGTGAGGGAGCGGGAGGGAAGGCCTGGCTTCTGGGAGGGACTGGTACGTGTGGCAAACCCAAGGTCAAACACGTTCCCTTTTCTGGTCCTTGAGCCCTCAGCTCTGCCAGTGTCTGGGCAGCAGGCCTCGTTGCTATGGAAACAGGAAGGTCCTGAGAAAGCCCTGGCTTCCGTTCCCTAGAGGTCGCTGTCCCCCTTTCCTTGCTGGCCCTCTTCCCATCACCCTTACCTGTCCCTTCCCAGCTCGCTTTACCCAAATCGCTTGACTCCGTCACCTCTCGCCTCTTGATCCTTCGCCGCTCTGAGCCATCACCATTTCCTTTCTGTCCCCAAGGGTCCTTCTTTCTCTTTCC